GCCGCCCCGCGCCGAGTTCCCGTAGCCTTCCGGGGCTTCCTGCCCCCGACCCGGCCGCTGTCCCCTTGGTCCCCGCGCCCCCCCTCCCGCCCGGGCTCCTTTCTCTGCCTAGCGCTCGGCCCAAGCTTCCCTCCCCCAGCTCCCCCCAGCGGCCTGGTGGCACCTGGGAGGTGTCCGGCGTCGATTCCGCAGACACTGAGCACCCACTATGTGCCCAGCTCGCTCCGGGCGGCGCGGGAGGGCTGCTGTGTTTGTCGAGCCAGGCACTGCACCTAGCCTTGTTTAGGCATTATTTTGTCCTCACTGCAGACCTATGGGGCAGGTACTGTTATTATCTCTGCCGTACAAAAGAAAAACCGGAGRCCCAGAGAAGTTAACTTGCCCATGATCAMACAGCTAGAAAGTGTGGGGAGACAGTGGCTCCGAGTTCAAGGACCTGGTGTGTGCTGGGGAAGCAGACAGGTACACCGTAAGGATCTTGCAGAACAGAAAAGGGGGAGCGCAGTGTCCAGGTGGAAGCATACCGTGGGAATGCAGGAGCAGAAGCAGCGACCATCCTGGCCCAGTATTTTGCTCTTCTGTGATTTGAACTGGGCTTTTGCAGGAGGTTAGTGTTTCATTAGACTGAGCTAGACCCAGGGAGCTTTCCAGGAAGGGAGGAGGCTCCGGCAAAGGCACAGAGAGACAGAAAGACCCCAGGAACAGAAAAAGAGTCCATGATCTTGGAAGAGATGACTTTAATAGGAGGCTGCAGAGAATTGGAAGGGATTGAAAGGCCTGGACTTTGTCATGTGGGTGGGAACCGCTGAGGGATTTGGCTGCTGCTTAGACCAGCAGCTCATCTTAAGTGGAGTTTGGGTTTCCCTGCTGGTAGCTAAGGCAGCAGGGCTACTTCACACTAGTGAGGCTGTGGACTTCAACAGAGCACAGTCCCCACCTCCCAGTAGACACTCTGAAGGCCTCAGGTGGGGCTCCCAAGCCACATGAAAATGATAAGAAGACTGCACCATTGTTCAACTATCAAAGAGGAATGTCTTCTTAATGATGTTGGAGTTTGCACAGGTGCCCTTTTCATGCAACAGGAAGATTCTAACAGTGCATTTAGAACATAATGGGATTTCAGGGGATGGAGAGCAGGTGGTGAGGGGCAAGGACAATTTTGGAGTAGATTGTTGAAGTCTGGGATATATGGCAAGGTTGATCCCAAGGAGGAGTTGGAGGTGAAGGGAGGATTACCAAGCCCRGCCAACCCCCAAAGCACCAGCAGGACTGCACCACACACTCCTTGAGAGCAGGGCCCCTCCCATGGCAGTCTTTCCCTATCAAACATCCCTTTGCCCATCCATACTCCACCCTCTGAGACCAGCTGAAGTCCTACCTTAGTGAGGCCCAGAGTCCATCCTTTCAGACAGCCAGAGAACTTTTTTTTTAAGTACCATCTGGGCAGGGTTTTTTTTTTTTTTGCTTCCTGTAGCACTCTCCTTTTGTCCCTTTTTCTGAGGTGTCCTTCCATGTTCTGATTCTCAAGAACACACTCCAAATTAATCCACATATGGTTCCTAGAAGCCACTTTATTTTGCAAGTAGTTGCCAACATTTTGCTTAGGAATGCTTTTCCAGAAAGTCATCCATCCATCTACTGTCACCAGAAAAAGCCTCCATAACATGACTCCTCCCTGCCTCAGACTGTAGTGGGCAGATAGTCCACAAATGTGTGCTTCCTTCATGGTCCCCATCTGCTAGTCRGTCAAGCCTCTGTGTGGCCATTTCCATTGACAGGGAAGCTCCATATCTTTTGACTTTTGCTGCACATTTAAAAGTATGACTTTTAAAAGTATGACTAAGGTCCAGTCTCTAATAGAGCCATGTGCTCTATATTCTGCTCGGTGTCTATCTTCCTCACCAGACTCAAGGGCACGTCACTCATTTCTTACAGCTACAAAAAGGTCTTGAGACTATCAWTTTTACATTGGGAAAGGTAGGAGCCAGGAGAGAAAGAGAATCTCAGGAGGCTCAGGTAGTGTGAAAAAAATCCAACTAGCTTAATGAAGTTGCAGTAATGGTAATCCTAGCTTGCAAGGAGTGAGGGACAAGATCAGATTGTCTTGGAGAAAGGGGAATTGGCCATTAGATTTTTCTGTCTTGTTAAAAGAGGGCAGGAGGTGCTTTAAAAAAAAGAATTGAGCAACACTCTTGTTTGTGTGGTTTCAGTGGAACAGCTGGGGGTTTTTTGCTGGGTCATCGGCAGTACAGTTCCTGTGGGTGCCGGGAGTGCAGGCTGGGCTCTAGTAAATCTGCAGTTTACCATTTCTCCACTAAAACACCCCAGCAATGCTAAGTCACTGTTTACTTTGCAAAATCATACTGAGCGCCTGCTGTGTGTCGAGCACTGTGCTGTGAAAAGCTGCAGTGCGCCTCCAAGGCCTCATGGTGTTGGCCCTGCAGGAAATGGCCAGATAGGGTGGTGAGCCTCAAGATGGGATTCTGCSGTGTGCTCTAGGGGCTGGAAGCAAGGCGCCACAGCCACGGGCCAGATCTGAGATTCCCAAAGGAGGTGATCTCCAGGTTGAGATCTGGCACATGAGACAGGAGATTCCCACTTCCCACAGACATGGGCTCCCTGCTCTCAGCCTGCCTCTCCCATGCCTAGGGAGATGGGGTCATAGATACAGTGAATGCAATGAGTGACGCTGGTTTCTCATTTTTGAAAGATTTCTCCATGGACAATGGCAGCTACAATTCAGGCCATGGAGAGGAAGATCGAATCGCAGGCTGCCCGCTTGCTTTCCCTAGAAGGTCGAACAGGGATGGCTGAGAAGAAGCTGGCTGATTGTGAGAAGACGGCCGTGGAGTTTGGCAACCAGTTGGAGGGCAAGTGGGCCGTGCTGGGGACCCTGCTGCAGGAGTACGGGCTGCTACAGCGGCGGCTGGAGAACGTGGAGAACCTGCTGCGCAACAGGAACTTCTGGATCCTTCGGCTGCCCCCTGGCAGCAAGGGGGAGGTCCCCAAGGTAGCCTTTGGGTGCCCTGGAGTTGGGAGCCCTTGGGGCTGTGCCTGTAAGTGTGTGGGTGAGCGAGTGTGACACTTGTGGTTCCAGGTGCCCGTGACCTTTGATGATGTGGCCGTGTATTTTTCCGAGCAGGAGTGGGGCAAGCTGGAGGACTGGCAGAAGGAGCTCTACAAGCATGTGATGAGGGGCAACTATGAGACACTGGTCTCCCTGGGTAAGGCCTGGCACTCCCTTCTCTGTCAAGTGGATTTTATAAGTCCCCAGTCTCTTTCTTCTGCTGGTTGTTTTCATCTCAGTGACATGTAAACCCCTAGATACTTTGAGCAAGGGAGTTGTCTTCCTCCTCCTAAAGATGATGCTAGTRATAGTCAGATTCCCCCTTCTGCCTTTTGGAGTGGCAGAGTGAGGAAAATGAAGGTCCCTTTCCTAACAGGGCCTAGACTGTGGACATAACTGCTGAGATGTAGATTGCAGGAACTCCTCTGCTCTAAGGTCCAGTCTCAAATTGACCACATATTGAAGAAGGACTTGCTTTACCTTCTCTTGCAGAGCTTTTGGCCTTTATGTGATAATTCTTCAGGGTCCATAGAGAATAGGACAGATCTTGCTTCCTACAGCAAGCATTTTCCCCTGCCCAAAGCCTTGCTGTCCCAGACTTAAGGGTCACTGCCTGGGAAGGGCCTGGATTCTGCCTCCTGGGCCCATTTCCAGCTCAAGATGAGCTCTCTATGACCTCAGAATAAAGGGCGATGAGGTGTCCTTGGTGAGGAAGGGAATGGGCACAGGCGTGCTGTTGCGCTCTAGAGTGCAGACGTGAGCTGTTGGCTCCTGTGGAGGCTTTATGCCCAGCACTGCTGACACAGGGCCAGGTAACTCTTTGTTGGCTGGGGCTGTCCTTTGTGCTGTCAAATGTTCAAACCAGCCCTGCCCTGTGCCCGGCAGATGCCAGCAGCACCTCTCCTAGACTATACAAGATGATCAAGCTTTCTAGCAAAGTTGCCCACCTTTGAGAACCATTGCTCTCTACCAACCCAGACWTTTAATTTCCAGACCTTTCTTGATTTTCCAGCTGCCTTTCCCTTGCTCTGATGGGAACATGGCCAAAGCTAACCTTCCTCTCTTTCCTCAGACTATGCCATCTCCAAGCCTGAAGTCCTCTCCCAGATTGAACAAGGCAAGGAGCCCTGCACCTGGCGTCGTGCTGGCCCCAAGGTTCCAGACGTTCCTGTGGACCCCAGTCCAGGTGAAGGGTGGGAGAAGGCCAGGGAGACACCAGGTGATTGGATGAAAGCAGAAAAGTAGCGGGTTAGGGATGCTAATTGCTTGTTTCCMGAGAGACGGGAGAAACATGAGATGGGTGTGTGAAGTCTGCCTTCTGTAGTCAATGTATAACCTCTAACCTACTCAGCTGGCACTCTGGAAGCTAGTGCCTTCTGCATAGAAACGGGCAGACCAGCCAGCCAGCCAGCCACACAGAATGATGGGAAGAGAGTAGAGGATTTGGGCAGAGAAAGGAAGAATCTGTTGAACACAGAATTCATCCRGAGCTTTGCAACATCCACTGGCTGCCTTTAAGTCTATTCCCAGCTGCACAACGGAATTCTGTTGGCAAGCTGTGTGGTCCAATGTTATAAAATTCATGAATTTATTTAAGGTGAATGTGAATGCTAGATATCAGTGTCTCAGATTTCCCTGGAGCCAGTCAGCACATTTGAAAGTTCAGAAAAGGACAGGGGACATATGAGAAAAACCACATTCCTGAGGGGAAGACCTTRCTGGATTCTCTGGCCAGGAAGACCCTGTCTCTGTTCCATCCCTGCTTCCTACCTTGACTGTCCCAGGGTTCCCTTCCTTCAACACTGTGTGACTCAGAAGTCTTTCTGTGGCCAACTCATGTGCACTATTTGTGTCTTATGTGTTTGTTGCTTCATCTCAGTTAGATTTTCATTTTATCAAAGGCAAAAGCACATACAGAACTGACCTTGTGACCAGCTTCTGCTAATACTCTCAGTGGTTTAGTTTAGCAATATATTTTGAAAGTCTTCTAGGTGCTGAGGACTGTGCTGATGGTTGAAGTATAGAAAGGTGACCAGGAGCAGAGCACTATCCACAGGGAACAACTACAGGTCACAGGCAGCCTCCAGCTTCCACATCTGGGTGGGGGGGTTCATGTGGCTGGTTTTATTTTATCTGTAACACTTGCAGGGCCTTCCCAAGCTCCCACACCATCATTAATTAAAAGCGAATGAGAGCCCGGAGGGACCCCAGTTGCCATCAAAACCCCTYCAGCACTCAGACTCCCATTGTCTGATAGGAGTCCCATGTGGCCCTTCAGTGCAAGCACTAGGGAGGACCCCTACTGTCCCCCACCCTCATCYGGCCTGTCCCTGCCTCTGTCAGGCTTCATGTCCCTTTTTCTTTGTCTTCTATGAATTCCTCCACAGTGCTTAGCAAGTCCTGCTGGATCCTGAGTGTTCCTGCCTGTTCTTGCTTCTCTGCAGTTCTCTTGTCCTCTTCCCCATGTCCCTCTGACACTGGGCTTGCAGGAGGAGGTATCCTGCTCCTCAGTTTTGCCCCTCTGCTGGCTTCCCTTCCCTGTTCTGTAAATTCTGTAAACCCTGCCCCAGGTGCTCAGGTCTCTCAGATCTCTGGGGATCCCCCTTTCCACCTTGTCACTCTTTCTGCCTTCACTCTTGGCGAAGGCAGCATCCACATGGAGGGTCCTTGGCTCTTCTCTGCCCCACATGGTCAACCTTTGTCGATRACAGTTACAGCACCCCTCCTAACCACCCCCTGCCATCCATCTTTCCAGTTCTCTCTCTCTCTAGAGCCTGAGTGCCCTGGGCCCTTAACCTCAGGAAGCTGTGAGCCCTGAACCCTCCCACCTTCTCTCCATCCTGGCCCATCCTCCCCTCTGTGGCCATCTGCAGTGGTCCCTTCGTACAGCCTCAACTCTCTATTCCTCCTCTGTTCACTGTACCCATCTGGCAGAAGCACAGTTCTGGGGAAATCTGCCTGCCTGTTGTGCATCTGCGCTCAGGTACCTGTCTGCAAGCCTGCTACTGGTCTCACCTGATTCTCCCAACCAGCAATGTCAAGTGAGCACCCAGCATTGCCCAGCAATCCCTGGCATCACCTCACTAGGCCAGAGATTGGCAAACTGTGGCTCTTGGGTGAAACCTAGGCCAATTGTTCCTATGGCCCACAAGCTGAGAATGATTCTTGTTTTTTGTTTTTAGTGCTAGGGATGAGCCCAGGAGTGCTCAGGCACACTATCCTCTCTGCCATTGCCACGCCGCTTTCCTGATGGTTACCACAGATTCTTTTTGAGCAGCTACGAAGCACCTGTTTTCTCACATCTTTGCCCACTTTACATCATTTTTTACCAGTTGGATGGAGGCACAGTGGTTTCTTGGTTTAATTTGTATTTTCCCGACTGTTAATGAAGTCGGGCATCCTCTTCACAAGGTGATGTGGTTTCTTCTGTGAATTGTTTTTTTTTTTTCTGTTTTTTCTACCCAGTCCTTTTTCACTTTTGTATTGATTCTGGACATCCTTGTTTGTGTTCTAGGTGCTGATCCTCATCCACTATGCGCATTACATTCATCTGCCCCTAATCTGGCAGATCTTTGAGCTCTGCAGTTCTTCTGTGGACGTGTTGATTTTTGGTAGGCATACCTGCCAGTCTGTTCCTTTATGACCTGTGCTTTTTCTTTGTGGCTGTCCTTGCCCTTCCTCATCCAAGGTCAGAAAGGTGTTCTGATTTATTTTCTTATAAAACTTTTAAAGTCTTGCTTTCCAAATTTAATTCTTCAGTCCATTCTAGAATTAATATTTGTATAGGCTACAAGGGAAAATTTACATGTTTTCCCCACAAAGATGTCAACTTTTCCAGCAATTTGCCAAGTGTCTTGTCCTTTCTCCATTGGTTTGTAGCACAGCTTCTGTCTTGAGCCAGGGTTTCATGTGTGCTTGAGGCTGTTCCTGGGCTCTGTGGTTCCTGTTGGTCCTCTCTAGGACACTCTCTCAGCTTYATAATATGCCTCACAATCTAGCAAACCAAGCATTCCCTGCTTATTCTTCAAGGTTTTTCTTGGCTATTCTTAGATCTTTGCTCTTCTGTATGAATTTCAGAATATTCATGTCAAGTTCTCAAGAAAATCCTGTTGGAATTGCATTTACAATTTAATGTTAGGGAATTGCTACCATTAAAATTTTGAGCTTTGGGCTGGAGTTGTGGCTCAATGGTAGAGCGCATGTCTAGCATGGGTTTGATTCTTAGCACCACATATAAGTAAGTAAATAAAATAAAGGTCCATTAACAACTAATAAAAATATTTTTAAAAAATATTGAGCCTTGCTCTTCATGGGAACACTTACCAAAGATTTCTCTTTGTGGTTGAATAAGGTTTTACAATTTCTCCTGATAGTTACAGTTTCTCTCCTAAGTCAGATTTGTAGAATTGATTACATGTTTTATGGTTGTTACTGGGTCAGGTATGCTATTGGCTTGGGTTTAGTGAAAGAAAATGTGTTCTCTCATTAGGCAGAGAGAAATATCTATTTAGAGGCTCTTGGATTTGTTACATATACAATTACATCCTCCACAGTAGYGCACCTGTCATCTCTGATTTTGATTTTGTTTTTGTTTTTTGTTTGTGTAGCAGTCTGGCTAGGACATTGAAGAATAGTAGAATGATAGCATCCTCATCTATGGATGACATATATTTCTAGAGTTTCCACATTAAGTTTGATTTTTTTTCATAGACATTTGAAGATTCTCTTAGTTTAAAGGCATGTCCTTCTGCTTGTGGCTAGCCAACAGTTTTTATTATGAATAAATGTTATATTGTGCCAAATGCTAGATTTTTTTCCCCTCTTTTTAAATAGTGCCTAGGTTTTTTTGTTACTCTGTATTATACATAATAGTAAATAAAACTCACATAATGGGTGGAGTGCTAGTCAACACAGTTCCCAGTATCCAGCACACAAAGAGCCCGGCCAGAGCCTTCAGARCCCATCATGCCTCCCCGACCACAGTCCCTGCCTTCCTCTTTCGGATTAATAGAAAATTCAGAAACAGAGCTCATCAGCCTTTTGCTTTCTTTACATTTTTATTTCCTCTGTACATATCCCTAAGTAAYATTGTTTAGTTTTTGCCTGTTGAACTATTTATGAATGGAGTCTTATTGCGCATGTTCTTGAGTTTGCTTTTCCCACCTGACATCATGCGCCTGAGTGTCTGTGTTGGCGTAGTGCAGTTGTAGTTCATTCATTTTCATGACTTTCACCACTTCATAGTTTTCTGTTTTATGACTATAACACATTTTTTCCTTCTACTGTTGGTGGGTGTTTGTGTTCTTTCTTTCTTTTACTTCAAGACAATGCTGTTGTGAAAATTCTTGTGTGTATATAAAAGTCCCTAGATACTGACATGGGTATAGACCCAGGAGTGCCGGGTTGTAGGAGAGGTGGTGTGCTCACCGTCACCTGTTAATGACAAAAGTGTTTCTGAAGTGGGGATACCAGTCAGCACCCTCCCCAGCAGGGCCTGGGGATTCCTAACATATCTTATTTTCACTGGCTTTGAAATGCCATTTCCATTCTGCCCATCTGGTGGAAGTTGAAATAGTCGAAAAATTGTGATTTAAATATGCATTTTCAAAATTAAATAGCATTATATCCGCTATTTATTTTCTTGTGAAATGTCTTTTGTCCACTTTTCTTTAAATTCGTAAGAGTTCTTTACATATTCTGGATATGAATCTTGCTGTCAGTTGTGGTGTTGATGGTAGGTTTTTCTGTTTATGCTTCCTCGTGTTGCTGGGGATGGAACCCARGGCTGCATGCTGCGCACCAGCCTGTGGTATATTTTAAAGTGCAGATGCTTTTCACTTCCGTATTCTTGGATCTTCTAGTCTTTTGCTTTATGGTTCATGCTTTGTATGTCTTCTCCAGTTAAGAATACTGTCCAACCAAGAGGTCATAATACACGTCTCATTTCCTACCAGAGGTTTTCTATTCTTGCCTTTCATGTGCAAGTTCTTAATCCRCTAGGAATGGATTTTGTGGTGATCTGAGGGAGAGCCCTGGTTCTTTATCACTAGCCCTTTGTTCTCATTTTTCCTTTGCTATTTAGAGAAACTTTCAAATTACCTCATCAAGCACCATGAAAAATCCAGTCCGTGTTATGGTTGGAGTTGACTTCAATCTACAAAACATTTGGGAGAAAATTGACCTTTCACTCTACTGAGTCGTATCATCCTTGACTATCCT